AAATGTCTTCCTTTTACCTTTACAAAACACAATCATATTTTGGGATAATCATCAGTCAAATTGTCACTGATTTCCTATGTTCTGGGATTCTTCACACTTCCTGTTGTCAGTGGGATGCCATAAATACAGTGGGTCTTTGTTTTGTGGACATCAGGTTCTCAGCTATATTTAACTTTCTTTTTTGTGCCATTCATATTACTTCAATTTTGTAGTTATAAAAGCCAGCATGGTGTAGTGGTTAAGAGTGGCAGACTCTATTCTGGAGAACCAGGTGCGATTCTGCCCTCTTCCACATGAAACCAGCTGGGTGACCTAGGGTCAGTCACAGTTCTCAGAGCACTCTCAGTCCCCAAAATAAGTCTAGCTTGCTAAAAGAGTTAGAACTTAAGGCTGCCAGACAATCTTCAGATCTCCTGGCTATACCACACACAATGCCATACAATAATTATTATTAATTATTTGTAGTTATAATTTTTTCATCAGATGAGCCAAGCTATTCTGAATGAATGATCCTCCTGTGCACCATCTTCCCTTCATCTAATTGCCTTTGTTTGGGTCCTTTCTGTGCTGGGCATTCTTGTTCTCTCTTCTCTAGCTCCTATGAGCTGATAAGACAATCAGGTGATCTCTGTCTTTCCTTTTTGTTGAGTCCTGCTTGGCCATTTCCAGCATGTTATTTAGTACCTTTTTCATGCTAAAACTAGAAAATTGACTAGCCTTCGATGCAGCATATTTAAAAAAAATTCCAGCAACTCTTGTCTCCTGTGCAGGACAGTCTTTAGGCAAAAGACTGTGGAAACAAATTTGATTATATGTAAACATTTTATTCTCCTTTTTGTGTAAGTTGGAGGTGGAACCTCAAGAAACAAAGCATAGGAATTAATGGTGATAATTGAGCTGTGTCCTGAATAAGACTGAAGAGGAAAGAAATATGGATTGTGAGTGGGAAAAAGTTTTTTTAAAAAAAAATCTTGGAGGGAAACAAAATGAAAATTCAGAGGAATAACAGAAGATACAGTAGATGGGGATGGGGAAATCTTGTGAGAAGATGAATTTGGTGGAAATTAACTGAAGGAAAAACCAATGGTTGTGGATCTTGGAGGAAAAATGCATGTGAATTGTTTTGGTGAAGGATCATGGGGATTAATTAATGTGTTGTGAAATTAATTGAAGGAGAAATGCTTTGGGGGGCTCACTCAGCTACCACTTCTGTCTTGAGTATATGCTCTTGGACAACTCTTGCTTCTGGTTTGGATCTAAAATAAATTGGTGGTTTCTACCAACCCCCCTTCCAGCTACAGAGACCCCCCCATGTAATTCCTTAGGGTCTCATATCCTCTAGGAGCAGCAGTTAATGCAAATCAGTGGGCTGCTGTAGGAGGGTCAAGCAGGAAAGTTCCTTTCCATGGATGGAGAATCCAATCCCCTGTCTCCATGGTTGCCAACAGTGGCCAGCCTAATGCCTCTAGAAAGCTTATGGCCAAGGCATGAATGAAGCAGCAGTCCCCTGTTGTTTATACCCAGTACTCGGTATCCAGGTTTACTACATCTGAACATAAGAGTCTCTCTTTTTGCAATTAACAATCTGTAACAACAAATAAATCCAGTAAGACTGTGCAGTCAGAAGGTTTTTTTATTAAACCAAATAATTTGTTTACAATTTCAAATGTAATGTTTGCCAATTTATTGTAACCCCTGAACTTCAATAGTTCACTCACAAACAGAACAATTAAAAAAAATCACATCAGAAAAACAGCAATGGGAGCTGATACTCAGAAATACTTTGGGCAGGCAATTTGAATGACAGAGTTATTCCTGGCTGTTAAGTACTGTAATAAGCAAGTAGGTAAGCAAGCAAGTATTAAAGCAAGCCTAATTTTGCTAAATATTTGCTAAGCAAATAGGTACATTTCTTTGTAAAGTGTACTGGAAAAATCTATTATTAATAAAAACAGTCAGTTACTATACCTGAAAAATTTAATCATGTTTCTGCATTGGGATTGTTTCAACTCTCATATTCAAATTGAAATTAAAAATCATTTTCATGAAGAATACAGCAAGTGACTTACAGCCACTGATTTCAGCCATGTCACACTGAAAATACACTGTTAATACAATAGCTTTGATTAGCATTAAAGTCCTTGTGTAACCATATGTTAAACTGAACATTTTAAAAATGTACTTGTAGAGGATCATTTTACTTACACATGCTGCAATTTGTGAGCATGTGGAAAGGAAACATTACATTTGGATTTAACTTGCAAATCATTAACACTTTTTTCCTTTCCCTCAAATTTGCAGCAGCTGTCATTTGTACCAGTCAAGACTTTCCCAGGAGAACAATGAAATGCTATTCCATTTGAATGAAAGATTTGAATAATGACTATTCAACATGAATGGTTAACATTTATGACAATATCAAAATCTATATAAATAACCAAATAAAAAAATTAAAATATACTTTGATTCTAATACTATGGGATTATCCTTTACAGATGAAATATGCAAAAGTGGAAAAGCAACCCTGGCAGTTATCCCTGACTGTAGGCATAGTTGCATACACATAGAACATATAAGGCACGACTACATCACACAATTGAAGAGCATTCTGCCTTCCCATGAATCCCTAGGATCTGTGGTTGGAAGTAAGGGATCTCAAACAGAGATTTCTCAGAATCCACATAAAACTACAATTTCAGGCCTCTTGGGAGGAAGTCAATGTAAACTGGTCTAAAACTGATAAAGGCTTATAGTGTTGATAAGCCTTGAAAGAATTTAAGACACAAGCCTCTAAAACGAACTGATCCCAAAAAAATCTTAACAAATAGGTGGCTTCTGAAATTCTGTTTCCATCATTAGCATGTGTGCAGGGAAATAGCCAGGCATCTTTGTAGCATCAGAAAAGTAAATTATAAATACCTGATAAGAATGCAGTAGGTAGACCTTGGCCTTGTATTCATATCTGACATGTCTAACATGAGGAACATTTATGTATCTATCAATTTTTCTGACTCTCATCAAGACACATTTTAAAAACATAGGTAGGGAAATGCAACATGGGGAACAGCCCTAAGTAACTAAAAACCCTCAATGTTGTTCTATTTGTCTACCCAAATAACAATGATCATCAAGGGGATAGAGAATAGATTATTATAGCCAGTTAAGAAAAATCTTTGTGAATACCTATTGTATTTACACTACTGGTGTGCTGTCTACTTTAGTTTACATATGGTACACCAATAAAACATAAAGGCTAGAACCCAAAGAATCATGCAGCCACTTCTGCATGCTCAAGGAGGTTTTGGACATGTGTTCCTCAAACAGTTATACCTCATACCATGTGACAAACATTTTGAAACTGGTGGAAGAACATCTCCAATACAGTTGTAACAAACAATGGGCACAATTTCTGATCCTGTGCTAATACAGAATTATATATGTGTCATTTAGTGATCCGTGACATACTGTTGGAGTCTGCCATTCAAAGAAACAAGCCATTAAGAATGCCTAAAATAGCTCTTTGGACCCTAGCCAATATATTCTATGTTTGCAGTATTTTATTTTTTAAAGCTATCCATGAAAGCAGTAAACAACAGAGAAAAAAAATCTGTGCATTGTAATCCTATCATGTTTATTTAAAAGTTAATTTCCCCTGATTTCAGTGAGACTATGTGTAAGGGTACATAGGATTAGTGTTTTGCAGCGGCATATAAAACTTATAGAGTTCTATTAGTAGGGAAATAGTTAATAACTAAATTATTATGGAAATACTTGTTTGGCAGAGCATATTTAATGTATCCAGCTTAACCTTCAAACTGTAGTACTACATACCGTTTCTATAATTTTTATATCGTCTATCTGCTTCACTCTTAGTTTGAAAGCAAAAGCTCATCATCCCAATAATTGTTTTTATTCTGCCAATATGTCACTTACCATAAGATCCATAGTAAACTAAGAAGAAGGCTTCTAAGATACATCTGTTCTGTACAATTTGATGAACTGGAAATATAATCTGATATGGCTAATTGTTTCAGGTTCAGGCCTGGCTGTGGGGGTATCTAGAAGAGTGTGTGTTCAGATACTTTATCAAAGCAAGTTTTAAAGAGTAGAGGTGGTGTTTTGTGATGGTACTTAAATGTACCTTTTTCATTTATAGATTGCCATGGCATATAGTATTCCCTTTGAATCAGAAACTACCTGGAATCTGCTAGAGGCATGCATGATCGCCAGGGCTCTAGTCGGGGGGGAGCTCTCAGGTATGGAGCTCCGGAAGAGAACCTCTAGGGGGCGGGGCGGTCACGTGGTGAAGCCCCGCCCCCTTCTTTACCCCGCCCTCTGCTTCGATCCTCATTCCGTTTGGGAATGAGGATGAAGCAGGAGGGTAAGTAGCCGGGCCTTCTGACACACTTCCGGTGATGTCAGGGGGTGTGGCCTTCTGTCACTTCCGGTGATGTCAGGGGGCGTGGCATATGCAAATAAGTTATGCTAATGAGTTATGCTAATGAGCTCCGGCAGCTCTTTTTCTACAACAAGACCCCTGATGATCGCTATAAAATTTTGTGGTATTGACGACCTATAATATCACAAAGGATCTCATTAAGGCATTTAAATTCAATGTATGCAATTTGTTTTCTTCTGACCACATTGTGATATTTAGCTGCTTCATGTTTACCCACCAGAGAGCTTTAAGAATGAACTGAACTACACGTTGCACTTGGAGTTATTATTAAGAACAGATTCTACACAAGCACTGTACAATAAGGGGACCGCATTTAAGAATGGAGTGAAACAGGTCAGTAAATATTCCAAGTTCCTAAAAGCCACCTTGAGTCCAGTTCCATTTCTTTATCTCAGTGGCAAAAAGAAGTAGTAGAAGAAAATACTATGGTAGGCAAATACAGGGCACTATGACTGAATGACTGTATGGAGGTGGTGTGATGGACTAACAATGGTCTACAACAGTAAGTATATACAAAAAGCTATGCAAATGGCTTCTGTAATGTTTGAAAAAAATGAACCCATGCATAATGTACCCATGCTTCCCCTATATTGCCATTAACTCTGTATTTCTCATTGGAACTGGATAGCCTTGTCTTTCTCAGATACTAAATTTTTCCCTTGGTATGATTTGCTAAGTATAAATAATAAAAATGTCATGCTGTGGTAAATCTAAAAACATTGCAAATGTTGAGCTTTGTAATAATACAAAACTGCAAGTGGTCTTACTGATTAGAATACTGTATTGTGCTGTACTTTGTTACCCTTCTACGAGTTGTACCAGGGGAAGCAGATCCAATTGTCTGGCTAAAGCGATTATCAGGACTGAGCATCTGGCCTGTGAAGCCACCTATCCCCCCCATGCCACTCACACCACCCATTCCTGCCCCAGACACCACTCTTTCTGTTACAACCACATTACGTGCA